GCCACAAGCCTAACACATGAGGTGTACTTTAATTTGCTTAGTCATGCTACATGTGGCCTTCAAGGACAAGGCTTAGTCATCACTTGCAATGATGAGAGTTCACATGACATTTTCTCACCAACTTTCGGTAATAGATGGGCTTAAAGCTAATAACATGCTAAGCTTGATCATGTCAAGCTAATGAATGATTGATACTAAACCTATTTAGCACACGCATTAATCATGCAATTGGCACCATCCTCGACCATTTAACATGAACTACGCGCAATAATTTCCACAATAAACTTAATGTGAGCAAACATGAACTAAATACCAAAGACATGAACTCTAATACTTCGAGATTATTTCTAAGTATTAGTAGTAACCGAACTTTAATAGTTTCGGTCGAAACTTGACTTCGAAAATAAATTCGAATAGTCATAACTTTAATGGTTAGTCCCGAATAATAACAATCGATAAAATAAATATTTTGGAACTAAACACATAATTTACATTATTAACATGGTGGGCTATTACAACGAGAGCTTCGCGATGGTGTAGGAGTTTTTCTGATTGGACAACTTTGGACGGCGGCCGACGGCAGAGGCGGCGGTGCCGGCGGTGGTGGACGACGGCGTGCGGGAAAGGTCTGCATTTGGAGATTCACCTCATCGAGAGGATTCCAGTGGTACCCTCGGATTTGCGGTAGCCTTCCCTGATTGTCGGGAAATTTGGTTTGAAGGTTGATAGTTGACCAAAATGTTCTTAGATTCGGAATGTTTGACTGCAAAATTGAAGGTCTTCCCATATGAATTTTCGAACGAAATTTTAAGGGGAGATTCTCCTCGAGGAGATCTATCCAATGGTGTAAGAATCTTTCCGATCCGGCCACTTTGGTTGGAGGCCGGCGACGACGGTGGCTGCTCGAGTTTAAGGAGCTTTTTTCGAATTTTCAGACGGGACACCATTTGGCTTCTCGAACGGTTCCTCACAGACGACGCCAAATGATAGGACAAAGATGTCACCCAGGCTCCCTCGACTTGGACGGCCACCGTACCTGCAAGAACCCAAAGTCGGGGACCCCGGGAGGGGTGCCCGGCTTCGGGCCTCCGATGCTTAAGTCAGTACTAGATTCATATGAGAATGCATGGAGAGAGAGAGAGAGTGTGTAGGGAGAGAGTGTGCAGAGAATGAAGGAAAAGAGTACCTTAGCCCCCCTTTTTATACGGGGAGTGTACCTTATAGTGCAAGTTGGGCTTGGCCCATATTATCATAACAAGTGTCTTAGCCCATGTATAGGCGTATTCTTCAATATATATCCATAAAACCAGTCGGGTATGTCATGCTATATCAGATGCTACCGGTCGAGCCGGTAGTACTAGCCGTAGCTATATCATGGTTCTCGGGAAGACTCGGTCAAAGGGATCAAAAATGGGGCTGAGCGAACTGCACGATTGCACCGACAAGACTCGACGGCTAAGCTTCGGCTCGCTAGAGGGTTGTGCGAGTGTTCAGCGGCCGGGCAGCGATGAACGGGACCCAACGGCGACAGACAGCAATGAGGTGAGCAGCGACGGGACTTGAATGACGGACCAAGGTGCTGCGACGGGGGTTCTCGTTGGTTGAGGAACTCACGATGGTGACAGTGATGATGGCCGAGATCGATGGAGATATGGGAGCAAGTGATCGGCTTCTTGCTGCTATGGAGGATTCCCGCCAGTGGAGCAGCTGGTCACGAAGATGGTGATGGGGATTGCCGGGCTTGCGGGTTTCCTCTCCTTCCTGTTCTATTTGTGAGTAGCGAGCTTTATCTTTTTTTACCAGCGAGAGAGAGAGTGAGAGAGAGAGAGAGAGAGAGAGAGAGAGAGAGAGAGACAAGGGACATAAGATGATGATGGCTGGAGCGATTTGTGGCGAGAGAGATTTTGAGGGCTGGTGTTTGGTCTCTGGAGAATAGAGAAATCACAGAAATCGGGTAAGCAGGCCGAGAACACAGCTCGTCAAACACCATTCTCGGGAAGACTCGATCAAAAGAATCGAAAATGGAGCTGAACGAACTGCACGAATGCACCGATGGAAGTCGACGGCCAAGCTTCAGCTCGCTAGAGGGTTGTGCGAGTGTTTAGCGGGTCTGAGAGTAGACCCATCATTTTGGCGCCGTCTGTGGGGAGTTCTTGAAGGAATTAAGAGCGTTGCACCTAGCTCCGATCTGTCTCTAATGGCTGAGAAGGAAGGTTTGCAGAGGAACTTTAACGAGGAGTTTAGGGGGGCTTGGACGGATAGGAGACCACCATCTCTCTCCGTCCCTAGACCTCCGGTGATGCAGTTGTTGGGATTACCACCGTATGGAGGACTTCCACCTCTGGGAGTGAATCTGGGTGGAGAAACGCCCATTACTCCACCCGGAGTGAAGGTACCGGTGCTGATCTCAGCAGGAGCAAGTCAAAACCCCAATCCGAGTGGAGGGAGGGAGCAAACGGAGATATCTCGACGTGAGGGAAAACAGATCCAGGAGGAGCCGGAACAAACACTTGCACAACATCATGTCGAGGAGCAAATCGGTGACAATGACGAGAGGTGAAATGCAAAAGATGATAGTAGAAGTAGTGGCAGCTCAATTGAAGCAGGCTCAGACCGAGAAACCCAGAGTCGAGCCGCTGAGGATCGAGAAACCAAACCTCGAGCGCGAACAACAGGCCAGTCCAATGAGAGGCAGAACAACATGAGGGAGGAAGAAGAAGCATCCTCTATCAGGACTGTTAACCCGCAAGCAGGAAACAAGACACTAGAGCAGTTGCTAGCCCAAGTTCACGATTTACAGGCCCGAGTCGAGGGAAGAAAAACTGGTGGTTCGAGAGGACATCCATTCTCGCAGCACATCCTCGATGCCGACCTACCACAAGGTTCCGTGACATAAACATAAGCTATGACGGGTCGACCGATCCATCTCGACACATGAGAAGTTTCGAGAATATGGCGGTGCTCCATCGTTATAATGACCCAGTGCAATGTCGAGCTTTTTTGACAACCTTACGGGGTTCTGCCCAGGATTGGTTCCATCAACTACCATAGGGAGCCATCAAGGATTTTGATGGATTCAGCTCGAGTTTTCTCAACCAATTCGCAAGTTTTAAACCGCAAGAGAAGTCGTATCTAACTATGATGGGCATACAACAGAAAGAAGGTGAGTCACTGCAAGATTATGTGGCGAGGTACACGCGGGCGTGCGTCGAGGTGCCCAGGGCGTCGGAGGAAATAAAGGCGGGAGGTTTGACTCGAGGGTTGCTACCAGGCTTGTGCAGGAATTCTTTCGCAAAACGCCCGGGTAGAACGTTCGATGAAGTACTGGGGAGATGTGCGAAGTACATGAATGTCGATGAGGCAGAAGCCAACTTCTTGCAAACGGCTAAAGCAATTAAAACTGAATCTTGGGACGAGAGGAAGGAAAAGAATAGTTCCTCGACTGGGGAGAGAAAGGGGTCCCCACGAGCAGAAAGAGAAAGGCAATCTAGGGGTTGGAGGCTAACTCACTACATTCTTCTGGCGGCTCCCCAAGCCAGGATTCTAGAAGTCATGGAAAGGGAGATTCACGAAAATGTGGTGAGATGGCCCAAGACGAGGAAGGATGGACCGACAAAGCCTAAAAGCAACCTATACTGTCGATTCCACAAAGATTATGGACACAAAACAGACGATTGCATGCACCTTAAAGACGAGATCGAGAGGTTGATAAAAGCTGGCCATTTGAAAGAATTCATATATAAAGATCATGAGAGGACGAGCGAAAGGAGAGAAAAGAGTAAAAGCCCTCGCAAGAGGGCGAGATCACCCGAGAAGGAGGAGCTTCCCCCAGAAGAGGGGAATAATTCATATGATCTTCAGCGGCCGACTGATGGAGATTTAAATCGAGCAAGAAAAGCATATGCTCGAGGAAAACACGCTATGGTCGAGATACAACAAGTCGACGAGGGAGGCCTAGTGATGAAGTTTGGGCCAGCAGATGTAGGAGAGGTCGAGAGGCCTCACAATGACGCCTTGATGATAACCGCCCAGGTGTCGGGCTATAAGGTACAAAGGATCTTCGTCGATACAGAAAGCACAGTAAATGTAATCTTCTACGACCGCCTCAAAAGGATGGACCTCGACATCGAGATGGCACCCCTACACACATTTCTCTTTGGGTCCAACGGTTCAGAGGTCGCGCCCTTAGGAGAGACCACGCTTGTTGTCGTCCTAGGGGAGGGGGACTTAAGGAAGGTGAAAATGATAAGATTCATAGTAGTTGACGTCTAGTCGGCCTACAACATGATCCTCTAGAGACCGACATTGAACGTGTTCCAAGCTGTGGTGTCGACTTACCACATGAAGTTGAAATTTCCAGTTAGAGATCGAGTAGGAGAAGCTCGAGGAGATCATAAGCTATACAGAGCCTGCTACCAGATAACAGTAAAAACAAACCAACGAGCGGAGGTAAAGGAAGGAAAGAAGCTGATATCGAGTGAAAAGAGGCCGAGGGGAGTGACCTCGAGCCACACGGAGAACTGATGGGAATCCAGATTGGAGAAGAGGAGGACCAAACCACCAAGGTTGGGAGAGAGTTGGAGGACGAGTTGAGAAAACAGTTGGTGGAGTTGTTGAAGGAATTCATAGACATATTCGCTTTCTCTCCTAAAGAGTTAATGGGAATCGACCCGGAGGTCATGGAACACAAACTCAATGTCGACCACATAAAAAAACTCGTCAAACAGCGACTTAGACATCATGGAGCTGAGATCGATAAAGCAATTGAGGTCGAGGTGGACAAGTTGCTAAAGTCCAAGCACATCAAAGAAATCCAATTCCCCGAATGGATAATTAGCACTGTGATGGTGAGGAAAGCATTAAATAAATGGCGCAAGTGCCTCGACTTTTGTGACTTAAACCTGGCATGCCCAAAAGATCATTATCTTTTGCCGAGAATTGATCAGCTAGTCGACTCCACGGCTGGTTGCGAGCTGCTGAGTATGATGGACGCATCCCAGGGGTACCATCAAATTCCGCTGGCCCCCGAGGATCAAAGCAAAGTTAGCTTCGTGACAAGCAAAAGGACATATTGTTATGTCGTCATGCCCTTTAGGCTCAAGAATGCGGGGGCGACGTACCAAAGACTGATGGATCGAATGTTTAAACTGCAGATCGGGCGTAATATGGAGGTGTATGTAGACGAAATCCTGGTGAAAAGTAGGTCATCGATCTCGCATGTCGAGGATCTAAGGGAAACATTCAAGACTCTAAGGACATTTGGGATGAAGCTGAACCCGAGTAAATGCGCCTTCGGAGTGATGGCAGGACAATTCCTTGGCTATGTCGTGACTGAAAGAGGCACTAAAGTGAACAAGGACAAGGTGAAGGCCATACTCGACATGGCCCCACCGAGGAATATCAGGGAAGTACAAGTCCTGACGAGTCGAATTGCCGGTCTAAGCAGATTTATCGCTCGAGCAGCAGAGAGAAGTTTCCCATTCTTCAAGTTGCTTAAAAAGAAAACTTTTCAATGGAATGACGAGGCTCAAATGGCGTTCGAAAAACTTAAAGAATTCTTAAGCGAGTTGCCGCTATTAACAAAACAAGAACCCGGTGACGAGTTGGTGCTTTACATCTCGGTGGGAATATTTTCCTTAAGTTCGGTATTGTTGCGAGAAGCAGAAGGAGCCCAGCAGCTGATCTATTACACGAGTCGAGTACTTCAGGGTGTAGAGACAAGATACTCCGAAGTCGAGAAAGCCGCCTTGACGCTGGTAATAACAGCTAAAAAGTTGAGGCCATATTTCCTGAATCATGTGATAGTGATGAGGACAAACTTCCAGCTCGGAGAAACCTTGGGTCGACCTACTGTTTTGGGTCGACTCGTGAAGTGGGCGGTCGAGCTGAGCGAATACTCCATCAAATACGAACCGAGGCGAGCCATAAAAGCCCAAGCTTTAGCGGATTTCATCCAAGAAGGAACTAAGGGGGAGGAGAAGAAATGGATGATGCATGTCGATGGATCCTCGGCAGCCAAAGGGTCTGGCTTAGGAGTTGTCCTCGTATCTCCTGAAGGCGAAGAACTCGACTTCGCCATCCAAATGGGGTTCAAGGCCTCGAACAACGTGGCGGAATATGAGTCACTAATCAAAGGGATTCAACTTGCAATCGATGGCGGTGCAACGGAGATCATGGCACATTCCGATTCACAACTTGTTGTCGGACAAGTACTGAGGAATTGTAAGATTAAGGAGGATCGGATGATGTAGTATGTCGAGGAAATCCAAAGCCCGGTGCAAGTCTTAGAGAAATTCGAGCTAACACAAGTCCCTCGAGAGAAAAACAATGGGAAATCGCATTACTACTATGCATTTAGAAGGAAGTGTCTTAGGCGAGACAATGGAGGTTGACGAGAAGGATGATTGGAGAAAATCAATTCGCGAGCTGTTACAAGGTCGAGTACCGGAAGGAGATAAGCATGAGGTAGAAAAAGTAGCTCGATATTTGAGCAAATACTTTGAAGTCGAGGGGATCTTGTATAAGAAGTCGATGGTCGGACCCCACATGCAATGTGTTTCCGAGGAGGAGGGAAGTTATGTCCTGAGAGAGATCCATGAGGGGTGTTGCGGAGCGCATGTGGGATCTCGAGCTTAAGTTGGCAAGGCTCTGCTAGCGGGCTTATTGGCAAAAAATTCGGAAGATGGCTGAGCAGTTAGTACGAGAATGTGAAAGATGCCAACGCCATGGTTGAATTCCCCACATCCCGGCCAAAGTAATGACGACAATCAATTATCCGATCCTTTAGATCAATGGGGAATCGACTTGTGGGCCCATTGCCAATGAAAACAGGACAAAGGAAGTTCTTAGTAGTCGCTGTCGACTATTTCAACAAGTGGGTCGAGGCAGAGCCCCTGCCGAAAATCACCGAGAAGCTCGACAGGCCAATCACCATTCAGTATGGTATGTGGGATGGATGCACTCCTACCAGTGGAAATTGCACTAAGCTCGCACAGGTCGACGTACTTCGAGGAAGAAAAGAACTAGGAGATGGCCAAAGAAGCCCTCGACCTGATCGAAGAGGGGCGAGAAGAAGCTTGGTTACGATTCGTTGAATATAAACAGAAGATGCGCGCAACTTTCGATAAGAAAGTCCGAACCAGGCATTTCCAAGTGGGAGATCTCGTTCTCAAGCGAGCAGATGCTCTGAAGCATGTCGAAAAGCTCGAGACCAATTGGGAAAGACCCTATACCGTGACAAAGGTGCTAGAAAGGGGCGCATATGAACTCGAGGATGGGGAAGGCCGACAATTGCCGCGATCATGGCATGTAATCAATCTCAAATGCTTTTATGCTTAAGGCAATGTTTTGAACTTTTTTGTACTGAACAATGTTTGAATCAAATTCAGTAATGCAATGAATTTCAAATTTATGCTTCAATTGTCTTTTACATTTCCATATCGATCTCTTTATGAGTGATGAAAAATAGAATTTTTCAGAACGGCTACATAGCCAACTAAACAACTACGAAGTTGTAGTCTCGAGCGGAATCTCGATAAGGCTACGAAGCCTGCGACTATGAAGTCGACTAAACAATTATGAAGTTGTATTCTCGAGTGGAATCTCGATAAGGCTACGAAGCCTGCGACTACGAAGTCGACTAAACAACTACGAAGTTGTATTCTCGAGTGGTATCTCGATAAGGCTACGAAGCCTGCGACTACGAAGTCGACTAAACAACTACGAAGTTGTATTCTTGAGTAGAATCTCGATAAGGCTACGAAGCCTACGAAAAACTTGTTTAACAACTATAAAGCTGTTAAAACCATTGCTCGATTTTGATCAGCTCGCACGAGGGGTTGGGAGAAGACGACTCGAAAAACTTGTTTAACAGCTATTAAGCTGTTAAAACCATTGCTCGACTTCGACCAGCTCGCACGAAGGGTTGGGAAAAGACGACTCAAAAAACTTGTTTAACAGCTATGAAGCTGTTAAAACCATTGCTCGACTTCGACCAGATTGCACGAGGGGTTGGGAAGAGACAGGATAACAAGGAAAGTCGACCTCAATTGTTACAAGCATCTATGACAATTTAAGAACAAAGAAAAGCGACAAAATACGATGAATAAGAAACGAAAGCAAAAGATAATATTTTTAAAAGGTTCATTACAAGCAGAATTGTCTCGACCTTTACAACCCGAAAATAGGTCGAGAACGATAATAAAAAAAGAAAAGAGAAAACAGAAACAGATTTCAAAAGAAATGGGCATAACCCCAAGGAACACATCTAAGAGTCAGCATCCGACTTCTCAGCGGCGCCATCTCCGCCCTCGATAATAGTCGCAGTTTTTTCGGCATCAGCATCCTCCTCCCCTTCTCCCACATGCTCGTCGACAAGCGGCTCTGTCCCCTATGGCTCGACGTCCCGCTCCTCGACTGCTCTCTCATGACTAGCCCCACTTGGATGGACCAATTTGGTTGGACCAACCAAGGGGTAGGGGGACCTTGAGTTGCGCACCCAGGCCGGCTTTACGAATGGCCCAATCCTCGAGTCCCGACCACCACGGGGAGTCATCCGGGAGAGATGTGTCACCCTCATAGCCATCGGGGTCGGGGAGCGCCGCCCTCATTTCTCGCGGTCGAGCTTCCCGGCGAACTCAGACCCCGCCACCACCGCCTCCCACGCATCGAAAGTATGGTCGAAATATTGGACGGCGGCAGGGCAAAGCCTGTCGAGAAACTCGAGGAAGTTGCAGAAAGCATTGACGACCTTTTTACGATAAGTCTCGAGGAAGACGGAGCCCATCGGAGAGTTTAGGAAGGACATCCGACCCTCCTCGATCTCAGCTTCCATCTCGACTAAACTCTCCTCGCGAGCTTTCTCAAGGTCGGCCTTGATCTTCTCATTGGCATGCCGAGCAACGGCATTGTCGGCCTTTAGCTTGTCGACGAGAGCTTTTGTAACGCCCCACTTTTATTTGACGAAAGTCAAGGACTTTTCAAAAGTCAACGAAAATTTTTCAAATTTTTTTTCGTAAATTGTTCGGCGTTACTTGACATAAAATCAACAGTTACGAACTTTCACATATCAATTACTTGCAAGTAACTTAAACATCATCAAATATCTAGAGTCAAATCGAAACCACCCTCACAGGGTTTTAAAAAAAGTTCCAAAATCGATTATTAGCAAACGTGGCATCTCCCAAAACCAGTGTTCGCATTTCTCAAATCATAAATAATCCAGAGTTCGAAATCTAATATCATGATTACCCAGAGTTCAACATGAAGACAAAAATAATCGTAATATGGTAGCAAAGTGGAAGCTACACAATAAGGTCCGGTCAAACGACTGACCACCACTCGTCTCTCGCTGCCATGCAGCCGCCAGCTCAACCTGCATCGATGAAGAGCAGGTGGGGATGAGCACAGATGGAATCCGTTGTGCTCACCGCTATGCGCATGAACAGTTATAAAAAGGGAGTACAAAAAGTAAATATGGCATAGTCACAGTATTAACATAGACAATAAATTTTCCCATCTCCTATCCAGAGTCGATTATATCTCATGTGCACACCTATCAGAATAGACTACATTTGGTCCACGTATCATCTCCCTGTAGGAACTCTAACGTTGCCAAAGTAGGAGAGTCATCCATCAACCCCGAGGATTTTAGACGAAAAATCTACTGTCAACCCCGAGGGTATTAGACAGGTCTGCCAACCCCGAGGGTTTTAGGCAGGAAATCCATCACAAGAGGAGATTACCCACTCGGGTACGTTCTATAACAACGGGGATACGTTCGACGGTCGGTACAACTCACGCCGAAAGTTATACATACACATTTCATACTTTGATCATACCCAAGTAAGTAAACAAATTTCACAATTCAAGGCATAGACAATTTTTGAATAATAAACCCACCTGGTATCCGGAGTAAAGCAATAAAACCAGGAAAGCAGTAAGCAGTCGAGGCACAACTTTTCAAACACCTACATTAGTCAAGACAGCCCTATAAGAAACTATCTCGACACTTACATGAGTCCAGATACTAAAGTCAACGTTTTATCTTGACTTAAGTAAAAAATCACAAATTTGACTTAGCCGAACTTGATTCGACTAAGTGGTTCGTGAAGTCCTGTGGATATTGAAACTCTAGGATTTAGACTCAAACAACCAAACATGGGATTTCACGAAAATATCACATCAAAGATAGTTCAAACAAGTCGTTACCACAACAAGAAATCCGGTTAATAGATTTTGACATAAGAACTACATTTTTGAAAAATAGAAAACAATATATATCACATAATTAGGTTGATCAAGCTCCCTAATGAGTTAGGTTCTAAAACTTGGACATAAATTCCTCCTCACTGAACTTAGTAAAACCTCCCAGTTTCAGCCCCAAACTCATTATACACAATTTTATAAAATTTAAATACGATACCAGCAAAAACGAGCATAAAATTCAAAGCCTGACTTAACAAACAAATTAGCACATGAGATTTTTACTGGAGCAAGTTCAGCAGTTACGGACCAACATATAAAAATTCCAGCAATTAACATTAAATACACAATTTTTAAAAATTCATAAGTGATATGGGATATTATACCCACAAGGCTGAACCGGTCTGTTGACCGATCGAGGAGGTCATATTATGAGGAAGCCAAGGAAATCGAGCAATTAACTAGTCGACCAAGCAGGGCTGTCGACCACACTATCCTTCGACCAGATACGTGATCGAGCAATTTATTCGACCTCAGCAGGTCGATTACTTCGGGGACTTAACATCAC